TATTCAATGTGCGGGGACTAAATCAATGCCAATAGAGAATCAATAAAGAACTAATTCACAACAAAATATCGATGTACAAAAGAAAATCATTTCTGAAATTCTTTGTATTCTGTAAATATAAAATAAAAATAATTAAAATTTTTGTCTAAAATAAAAGTCATGTTAGAATTAAAATTTACGTAATTTTTACGTACCTTTTCTCCATTGGCACGTTACTTTTTTCTTCTGCAACACGAAAAGATGCAAGAAGGAAGTTTCCGGAATATATATACGAAAATATCCGAACATTTCGTTGTTTTCTGCAATAAATATATTGGTAAACTAACATATGACAACAACAAAGATTAAGATTATCACATTATTTCATACATATAACTCTTATATTATATCATAGTATTTGATTTATAAGTACAAAGGTTGTCTTATGTAAGGGATTATAACAACGAGCAAACAATCTGACAGGTTTTAAAAATTGTTTAATTTGTCTACAGCAGAAACATAATGAATTTTGATAATGTGTTACTCGTTTTGTTAAATCCTTACCTAATTATAAAAGACAAATACTATGATATAATGACCCTAAAAGAGAAATTATTTTTGTTTATCATTATTACGTTTATAGCGATACTCAGATGGTGCGAAATGGTACAATTTCATTGGTGAAGTAGACACCAATTGAAAACATATCTTAAATTTTTAATGTTAATTCTGACAAACTGGTCCATTCGCAGCCGAATATCAAACAGTAATCTACCGACGAATCAATTTTTCGTGAAAAATACGCGCAATATTTAAACTCGCATTTTAGAAAACCATTTTAAACATATTTAGTGCTGGCCGATAACCTGGTATTATGTAATTTTTCTAATCCAATGCCAGCAGTTCGGTGTAACAATAAACTTTCCAAGAAATAAACATCTCAATTAGTCTTTTCATAAATTTGGTAATTTTCAAAGTACAGGTAGGCTCCTACAACGCGGTAGATACTTTCCTTGAAAATACCGCGTTGTGGGAAATCGCGTTATAGGAGATACCAACTTAATGCAAAAACTGGGATTCGGTTCTAAAAAGAGAAAAACTTGACGTTTGAATGGCGTTTTTTGAATTTTTCGAACCAGCTATTGCTAGCCACGAATTTAACACTGGTTTCATCAGCCGACAACTGTCCCATTTCTTTTAAATAATCAAATATTTTTAAGGCTTTGCGTTTAAGTGCACTTTTATTTAAATGCAATTGTTTCTTGTTCATATCTTCTAATATTAGCTTTGTTCCATTTTTGTTTTCATTATAGGTGCTCTCAGACGAGCAGCATTTCTCGCAAGAATAGATGATCCGGGTGCGACTGAATTCCTAATCTTTTCTTCCTATTGGTTAATCGACCGAATAGTTGACTCATTTAAATTAAAATGCCTACCAATATCAGCTATCCGCTCCTGATTTTTAATTCGATCCAAAATTTCTATCTTTGTTTGAAGAGATATATTAATAAATTTTTGTTTAAAATAAAAGTCATGTCAGAATTAAAATTTACGTAATTTTTACGTACCTTTTTTACCAATGGCACGTTACTTTTTTCTTCTGCAACACGAAAATATGCGGGAAGGAAGTTTGCGGAATATATATACGAAAATATCCGAACATTTCGTTGTTTTCTGCAAACAGTATGAATATGTTGGTGAACTAACATATGACAACAACAAAGATTAAGATTATCACATTATTTCATACATCTAACTCTTATATTGTATTTGATTTATGAGTACAAAGGTTATCTTGTGTAAGGGATTATCACACCGAGTATACAATCTGACACATTTTAAAATTTGTTAAGTTGTCTACAGCAGAAAAATAATAAATTTTTATAATGTGTTACTTTCTTTGGTAAATCCTTACCTAATTATAAAAGACAAATACTATGATATGATGACAATATAAAAAGTAATTATTTTTGTCTATCATTATTACGTTTATAGCGATACTCAGATAATGCGAAATAGTACAATTTCATTGGTGAAGTAGACACCAATTGAAAACATATCTTACATTTCTAATGTTAGTTCTGAAAAACTGGTTTATTCACAGCCGAGTATCAAACAGTAATCTACCGACCAATCAATTTTTCGCAAAAATACACGAAATATTTAAACTCGCATTCTAGAAAACCATTTTAAACATATTTAGTGCTGCCCGATAACCTGGTATTATGTAATTTTCCTAATCGAATGCCATCAGTTTCGTGTAACAATAAACTTTCCAAGAAATAAACATCTCAATTAGTCTTTTCATAAATTTGGTAATTTTCAAAGTAATATTTAAATGTTTTCAAATTTTTTTTGAAAATTTAAACATAAACTTTATAAGACCAATCATTTAAAATGTTTGTAATCATTTTAGAAAAAGGGAAAAAAATGAAAATATTGAATTACCAAAATACAACAAAATGTGAAATTTTAGCAAGGAATGAAAATGGGTTTATAAGTGTAAAGCAGGGGTGTCCAACCTTTTTGTTTTTCTGGGCCGCATTGGAAGAAGTCAAGGAGTTTTGGGCCACAAGTATATATAATATATACTTGTGACCAAATACACAAGTATATTTAAAAATTAACATGTCTAGATTATAATAATAAGTATTAAAACTTTATCAAGAAAAAGGATATTTTAAAAAATTACTTTTACAGACACTTTCAATTTTTACTTAGAAATAGATAAATTCATTTATTATAGAAGAGACAAACGAAAATGTATTTGAAAAACACAAATATTTGTTCTATTTGGGTCTCTAATTAATAAAAAGCGACGAAACGCCATTTTAAACTGCGTTTTTATTTAATTAATATAATTATAAATAATATGTAGCCGAAAAAGCAGTCAAAGCGCCAAATGATATTTTTTACGTCAAACCAAAAAATGTAGCCACATTTGGCCCAATGTAGCCAAATCTTGCAACGTTGAAAGACATACTAAATAAAGCTGGAGTTGTGAATTAAAGGATTATAGACCCAAGTGCGGAAAAAAGCGACAGTGGACAAAAGATGAAGAAGTATAAAAGATTGAAAAATTACGGGTCCATATTTGCTGAACAGAAGATCTATTTAACCTTTCTCACTACTACATCTTTTGTCCTTTCTCATCTTTCCCTCCTTTTTCCAAAATTGGGTCTATAATCCTTTGAGTCACAACTCCAGCTTTATTTGGTAATCCTTCCCCATTCACACATCTCCAAGTACAGTATTTGAAAATATTTTCTTTCCACTCAAAAATAAGATATGAATAAAGGTTTACGGCTTTGTAAAACTATTTTTGAGTTTATGCCGTTGAAATAAATAAATAATAAAAAATTTAAAACATTTGTCGGTTTTGTTTACACGTTTATTGGGCCGAATTAGAACTTGTCTTGGGCCGCATGCGGCCCGCGGGCCGCGGGTTGGACACCCCTGGTGTAAAGTAAGTAAAGTTAGAAAATATTATCCTACTCTATCATTTTCATCTTCTTTTGTAGGTTTATCTTCCCAGGAATATTTTTCATCACTACTTTTCCTTTTCTCTGTTTCTACTAGTTCTCTTAGCTTTTGCTGTTTTTCAATTTTATCATTGCTATGATCTTTATTATTAGCTGAAAAATAATGATTTTATAATTTACATTTCAATCTTTTCGTAAATAAACATCATAATTCTGCCATTAACTATAAATAAGTTTACGAAACAAACAAATATATTATTATAAGATATTCGTGTTACCGTGAAATATCTGTACATATTCAAATGTGTATTTATTCTCACAAATTAATTCAGAATAAAACAGTTATAAATACATATAATGTTTAATGTATAAAGAAAACGACATAGCAGTACACATGTATAAATAGAAAGTTTTAAAGATATAATCAATATGAATCTAAATATAAACTCAGATTTTTTTTTTCTATTCTGAATGAATCAAACAGTCAAACATATGATAAACGGAATATTAAGAGTGAAGTGCACAGTGTTTTTCTATTTATGTTCCACGGATTATCTCTTGTTTTATAGTTAATTTCATTGTTTCATTTTGTGTTTATATACCGGATGTTATTGATACACAAACACATATTTCGTTTCTTTACTTTTTCTGTACGGAGGTGTCACAACCATTCCAAAAACGTCGAAGGTCAAACGTCACCCAATTCAAATATTATAACAGCCGGAAAAATAAAGTTCATTAATATATATTAAAATTCTTGGAAATTTCTCGACATATACTTTGAAGGATGCTAAATTAATTTTCAATTAAATTTCATTCGAGAACTAGCCAAGACAATGAATCATTTTGTCAATGTTAAGGTTGTGTTTGTTGCAATTATTTTATTTGTTGATTTACTCCTAATCATGTTTACTGCTGAATATTTATATAATGTGCTTGAAATTGTTACTTAAACAGTAACAAAAATCATCATCGAAAGTGTTTTTGACCAAATAAATGGAATCTTTGTAGAAATGAATGATCTATTTCTGAATTGTTTCGAATATAATAAACTACGGCATACAACACACGTGAAAGACTGCAAATGGATAACAAATATTAAGTTTTATAATTTAAATAAATTTAAACAGAATGAGTTTAACATTAAAAGATTTCTTAATAATTTTTAACAAATTATTTTATAATTCTTTATAATCTTTTTGTAACCTTACTTTCATCCAATACTTTATCTTCTTTTTTCATTTTCAATGACGATTTGAACATGGGGTCATCGTCTTCGTTTTCTTCATAAATTATTTCTTTCACTAATGAATGCTTCTCTAAAAATGCAAACTCTTTTTTCAGAGGTCTGTTCTCGCAACGAGTAGTTTCCAAAAACCAAGAAGTATTCTCTTCATCATCGGAATCCTGTAAAAAGTGAAAAGTTCTCATTCCTGATAGAATAATCTCACAGTAGTCGAAATGTTTTTTTATTACTCGGAAAAAATGATTCATTAATTAATAAAGAATTTGCAGCCCTTTCCATAAGATTGTGCATTTCTCGTGTTGTGATTTTCAGTTTTAAATCTTTACATAATGAGAATTATTAAATTATTTTGAATTGAACTTACAGAAGAAGACGATTCTGTTTGTTCCGGAAAATCAGCATTTATATTAGATGTCATTTGCATTTTTGCATTCACTAAAGTTTTAAAAATATCTTCCGCAGTTCTATCGTTCTCACATACGGGATATTTACTTTTATTACGTAGATCCATTTGGTTATTAAAACCTAGAGAATAAAAGTAAAGGCAATAAACACAGCAATTCGTAAAAGTTTTTTCGCGTGAATTTAATAATTAGGCCTATATAAGAATTTGAAAGAAAAAAAGAAAGGAAATGACAAACGGTTTAGATCAAATAAACAGATGAAATTCTTATTGTCGAAAACATATTTTGGAAATTTATTCCATTGAAAATCCACAAAAATAAAACTAAAAATTTAGCAAAAGTTAATTTGAATTTCTCATAATCCATTTGTAACACAAGAGTTAAAAAGGGATATAATTATCCGAAATGCATACTCAAATAAATAAAACGTCTCTCTAATGTTTGTTTTCNCTAAAAATTTAGCAAAAGTTAATTTGAATTTCTCATAATCCATTTGTAACACAAGAGTTAAAAAGGGATATAATTATCCGAAATGCATACTCAAATAAATAAAACGTCTCTCTAATGTTTGTTTTCTGTTTTATTGATCGTGTAATAAGTCTAATAATAAATTGTTTTTTTGTTAGCGTATATTTGAACACAAGACTATACAAGAAGCGTATCGCATAAAACAAAAGTCAATTTATTTCTGTTACAAAGTATAAATATTACACTGTGATTTGAATTTATTAATTGTGTGGAAAGTGTAAATTGTTACAATCGTAAAATCAATAATTCATATGCAATATTGCTTACTAAAGAGTAATTCCCGGTAGGTTTTTTAATGAAACCCAATATTGAGATATTGGATAAGATGCGGAAACGAAATAATAAATTGTTATTTATCGTTAATGACGCCGTTAACATTATAACATTATATTCGGATTTTTAAACATCTGGTCGAAAATTACTATTAAATTTATGTTTCTATATTTATTTTTAATATAATTATACAATAAAAATGTAGTTTAACTTGCTGACAAAACTTATTTTCAAAAGAAATATCGCATTCGAAAACACCGAACAAATAACGCATCGACAATAGCCGAAAATATATTATTAATGTCTATTGTGTACGCAACAATTGGAAAAGTCCTTACGTCACACTAATCACAGAACATACTTAAAATTACGTACGTAAAGTACTTTTATTTTTTAATTTTTTGATAAGTAAACACAAAGAAGGACGTGGTCGAAATGCTTTTCGAGAACATTATTTAGAGGCAATGTGGTCCTTATTTATGCGTTAAATGCGTGAAGACATTCTGGAAAACTGTACTTGCCATTCCATAGATAATGTGTGAACCCAATCCGCGTGGTGGAAATTTTATATCAAAAATCAGTCGCTGTCTCACAACAATTTTTTATTATTGACTTTTTGTTTGACATGGCGTCGAACTGATAGGTAAACATTCAAAACGATAATACAATGGCACAGTTTCATGTTTCCGGTAATCCAAAACACTTGCGAGTGTTTATGTACAGAAAAAACTAAAAAGCTGCACGCTGTTTATTAAAAATCAATGTTATTTCTTAAATATTAAGCATGATTAGTTGTAACTAGCAAATATTCTGTGATGCCACAATGCTGGCCTGCAATTTTTCATCATATTCATTATGCATTTAATTTAAAACAACTGAAATTGATACTCTCTTGACCCTGTACATTATACTTTTCCTAATAACAACAGAATGTACCTAAGTGCGTTGGGAGGAAAATATTTCGATTGAAATCACCCAACTTCAAGTCTCGACCAAAAGTTCGTGTGCACTTACTACAGCGCTTTTTCAGAAAATAAAAGTTTTTAGACAACACACAATTCGATTTTAATTGTCTTTGTGAGAGTTCCACAAGTGTTTATTTCACATTTATACATAATTTCGTGTAAAATCTTCATTAAGTCTGACTACTCGGAAAATATCATGCACGAACCCCTTTAATTTTTAATTATCAAAATTAAATAGTATTAATGCCCCTTACATAAAAGTTAGCATGTAAACTTTTTCTCTTAATGTTATCGTATTGTGAAATATTAAACGAAATAGTTGTAAACACAGACAGACACATATTACTGTTTAAGTAAGAAAAATAATTATTTAAAGTATTTTTGACGAAATAAATGAAATCTTTGTAGAAATATACATTTTGATATTAATGTTATATTTTGAATAGTTTTGAATATAATAAATTACGACACCCTTCACACGTCAAAGACTGCAGATGGATAATTAAGTTTCTGAATTTAACACAATGAATTTAGGATCAAATAATACCTTAATAATTTTTAAATGGATTATTTTATGAATCGGAAAATATTTTGTAATTACCTTTAACCGATTTTTTCACTTTTTCACCTAATTTCAATGTTTGTTGGTCTACGTTCAATTTTTCGTCAGACTCCTGTAAAAAGTGAAAAATTCTGATTCCTGATATAACAATCTTACAGTACTCGTACGGTTTTTATTTATTAACTCAGAATATATTTATATAATAAGAAATAAACAATTTGCAGCTATATTAAATAAAACATTTTATAAGACTGTGCGTTTTTGTCACGGGTTTTACAGTTGTAAATCGTTAAATAATAAGAATTAGTATCAATTATTTTTATTTAATTGTAACTTACTAAATGTTTTGTTTCTTGTTCTATTTTCCGTGCCAGATCCATTATAATATGCCTGATTGTGGCGACGGAATCTTCCAAGGTTACTTCTTTCTGTTCACATGACTGATGTTCATCTTTAACTGCTTCTTCGCCTGAATTAAAAATCATATAGAAATTTGAATAAGTGAAACAAAGCAAATGACAAATAGTTTACACCAAATAAACATCAAATTGTTATTCTAGAAAGATATGTTGAAACTTTATTTTATTGCAAATTTACATAAACAAAAATTGAAAATAAATTTTAATGTTTAAATCAATTAATTTTTGCTTAAAAATTTCTTCATTTAAAGGATATTTTCGGTCGAAATAAGTGAACGGATATTTATTAGCGTATACTCAGAAGCTTACTTTATCTTGATTGATACAATTTAATAAAAAGTCTAAGTAAAATGTATTTTAATATTCAGTTTATAGATTAACTTCAAAAATGTAAATAATCAAATGTTCATTTATATTTTTATAACACCGATAAAAAATAAAGGGAAATCAATGGATAATTTTAACCAATTAAACATAATTGCCACATTCATTACCCTTTCGTTACAAGTTATTTCTTATAAATGAGCATTGTTTGCATTTATCTAGCGGTGAAGATCGATTTATTTGCTGTATCTGTATTCAGCAATGTCGATAAATAATGTAATAGACAGTTTGTAAATATAAAATATGGCATTGTTTAATTAATTAATGACCAAAACCTGAAATGTACTCAAAATCAAGTCGTATGTATACATTGAACACTAGAACATTAGCCTTTAGATTAGAGTTTTGACAACTTTTTATAAGATTATTTTAAATTAGCAATTGAATTGAATTTTATTTTTTAATTGGCAAAAACAGTGTTTTTATNATTTCTGTTAGCTTCTTTTTATTCATCTTAATGGAACCGAATATTTAAATATTGGAAAAGATACAGAAATAAAATAAAAAATTGTTATTCATTTGCGGAAAATCGTCTAATGCTCTAATTTTCTCCAGCAGAAAATGAATTCAAAGTTCAACCGTATCAGATTTTAATTAAGATTTTTATACATCCCGTAAATAATTACTATGAATTGCGTGTTTTTATATTCATTGCGAACACGTTATTAAACAGTTAATATAATTATATAATATAAAGAATTTAACTTACTTATACAATCCATTTTTTGCGCACTAATAACTTTCGATAATTTAACATACAACAATCGATATATTTCTTTAACAATATTTGAAAACTTATTCTTATAACTTATTGTTTATACAACAATGAAAAACGTGCTCACGTAATCGAAGCTTGTGCTAAGCATTACGCTTGTCAATCAGTCTTATTTGGGGGGTTTTTTGTGGGTAATTATAAAGAATGACATGTGCGATTATAAGGAAGGATGTTTGTTTATTCGTTTGGTAGAACGGCCTAGAAGTATATACTTCTAGGCCGTTCTAGCTCATACTTGTAACGTAAATCATGTTCGACCGATTGCTAAGAAATTCGGTTCGGTACTTACTTTCAAATATTTCTAATGTACAGCATGTCGTACATTCCATTGCGAAATATCGATTGCATATCTATAAATTAATTAATTTTTTTTTCGTTTCGTTTCGTTAGTTATGGCTACGCAACACTCGGGAGATCTGCCTAGGGGTTCCTTCTGTGAGGTCTTATAAAGGGAAACTGGCTTCTATTTAGGCGTTACAAAAGTGAAGAAACCGAAAAAACTCCACGTGGCCAGCCTGTTCGAGCGCGGCGCGATTTCAGGACCAAACTCCCAGTGTTCATGAACAAGTCTATTCAATGTGCGGGGACAATGTCCGCTTGTAACTTTTAAAGGATATATCGGCACAGGATGAAAATGGATTCTTGCGGAAAACACCTTAGCGTTGGCCATAGATCCGCGA